GCGCTTTCTTTTCTCTATCGAATGATCTATGAATGAAATAGGGTCGTGAAAAAAAAGTACTCAAGATGAATTAAAATAATGTGAAATATCATTAAAAAAATCAAAGTTTATGAAACTCCATGAAAAAGTATTGCTACAAATGATCCTCATAATTTATTGAAAAAATCATATCCGTATATGAAAAGATGCAGAATTAAACGCTCTTTCTAATGATCATGAATTGAGCTTTCAACGGTTTTTAAAAACTGTTCGTTTTGTTCAAATATTGGACCACTACAAATAGTATACCAACCTCTCAACACCTATGAAATATCAAGGGCGATTTTTGCTTCAAAACAGCCTTCAATATGCATAATTGTGTCTAAATCTAGTTTATAAACATCTATTTAAGCTTCCCAAACACATTGAACAACAAATTCGAAATGAACCTCCTAGCGCCCATTTCCTATAGCTTATATCCCCCTGTCCTTTAAAACAAGTGAGACTGTTGTTTCCTTTAGCTAAAGATGAAGACCAAACCGATTCAGCTGAACACACATTACAATGATGTTCCCAATATTTTTGTTCCAATTTTCAATAGAAGAGATTATAAAGATAATGAACTTATGTACGAACGTGTTGCATTTTTTTGCGAGGTATCCAACGATTGAATGCGACCATCTGCTCCCGATGATGACTTTGACAGTATTTGTTTGAATACTTGATCGCGAACTCTTTAAGTATTTGGGCTTATAGTCGGATATCGATTCACTAGTATTTGCTTGCTCTTCGATATTATCCATGATTGTGACACGTTGTCGTTTCTTTGGAGTATTGGAAATTGACATTTCACTTACAGATGTGATCATACCTCGTGATTGTTTTCCTTGCTTACGTTTTGAAGTTTTCACTATTTGAATACTATTTTTTTCAAGTTTTTTCTGTTGTAATAAATGGTGGAAAAGGGAAAAGAATCGCCTATTCGAAATGTTTCACAAAAAAACTTTACTTACTACATCATATTCAGGAATGAGCAGTTCAACATCCATATCAGAAATAGTAGTAGTAGTAGTAGACTGTCCATCGTTTTCACTTTGAATAGCATTATCATACGTGTCGAGTAACTTTTCAATTTCTTCTTTGTTGAGTCCTTGCTACAAATCGTTGACGTTTACGATCACCTCGACATTTTTTCGTTTGCCGTTTTTGTCGCTCTTGTTATTCGCTTTGTGGAAGTGGCTGTGAAATCGGTACTGAAAATGTTTTCCGTTGTTGAGCAGTACCTGCTGATAATAGCATTGACGAAGAAAACGATGTATATCCAGCATGTTGAAGATCTTTTAACACTTGGGATTGCCCTTGAAGTTGCTTATCATTAATTTATTCAGATTGATAATGTATAGACATTCATGATTCGCGAAAATATTTTATCGTTTCCAAAGATTCGAGATTTAATATGCAGATGCAGTTTTAAAGTTGTCAAAAATCGATTTTTGTCTTGACAAATTCGCATCTAGTAGAACATAAGTCAGATTGGATTCTAATTGGATGATGAATTAATTCTTTCTCCCTCTCTGTCTTTCCAACAAATAAAGGACACGTCAATCAGATGAATTTTGTTGGCGACGACATAGATGGCGTCATCAACATTCGTTCACATTGTTGAGGTGATGTATACCATTGGGACTGGAAAAAAGCGTTCATAGTCACAATCAGCAAAATTTGTTCGGGGGACCGGAGAGCGTTAAGTATAACAGGTAGATCATAAAGAAGGGGTATTCAGTAATAGAAGTTTTACTGTACATGGAATCTATCACATGCGATATTCTACGTAATTATTATAGAAGATCTATATTTTGATGCATCGCTATTATGTCTCGCCAATCATGATATGAACTATTTGATCCAATATTTCTTTTAATCATATGATGAGAAAAATAGATGTTACTGTGATAAATAACGGAACTGATCGTTTAAAAGCCTCGAATTAGAAACTTGTAAATTATATCTTAGCATTGTTTTCAGAAAACAATAATTCATTCAGATACTCCAAAAACGTCACGTTAAGCAGTAGAAACGATAAGAAAAAAAACATGCATTGTAATATAGATAGTATATCATGACATAGTGTTAGTGCAATGCAAGTCATTTACGTAAAGAAATGTTTCGATTCAAATTCTTCTTGTGTTTTATTCGTATAAGTTTAATTATAACTTTAACCAAATCCGAGTTTCCATGTCTTACCAATTCAATTATTTCTTGTCGTTGTAACAGCGATGAAAGCTTAGTTACTTGTGTTGAAAACCATCCAAGTAATGAAACATTTATCGATTGGTCAACATTTTCATCCGGCGGTCATCGGTTTCATTTATTTAAATTCATCAATTTTACACATTTAACGTCGAATACATTTGCAAATTTCACATCAACAGTTCTTTCACTTGGACAATTCGAATTCACATTTATCAATTGTGTTGATCGAGTAGAAGAAAATACTTTTCAAATATTGAATTTTTATTCCGATACGCCAATTACTCTTATTTTCGAAAATCCAAGAAATTTTCAACTTGCTAATTATGCATTTAGCCGACTGGAATATAGGGAAATTATCATTTCTGGTATTCAAAATGATAATCCTCCATATCAACTTAATCTAAAAGCATTTGATAATACACAAATTTATCAACTGAGTATTTCTAATTCTCCCGAATTTCATTTTATTTCTAATGGTTNGAATTCGACGGATCCGATGCAATCCTGGTGACGGAATCGCATTGGATTCCGACGGTCTCGGATCCGATCGGATCCCACGTCGGATCTCGTCGGAACCGAAACATGGATTTCCTGGATTTTCTAAGGGTCATCATAGAATATAGCTAGAAAGATCGCTCATAAAATTTGCAACAACCGACGGGATTTTTCTAGTCGGATTTCAATGCAATTCCGTTTCCCGGAATCCGATTGGATTTTGTCGGATGGTCGGATCCGGTAAGATCCGATCGGATCCAGCATCGGATTTGTTGACCTGGGTATCGAGAATGATATGAAGATGATTCAGTCGAACCAAGATCAAATATGGGATGAAAAGAAGATGTTCTTTCGCTGGTTTCTCTAGGTGCTTTCCACACATCTTAAAGATGCTCTATCTAACTATGATTGTTATTCTATCTAACAAATATCGATACATTTATCCCAGATACGCTGTCGGCAGTTTAATCTTTTTTACTAAGCAATTCATCTAATCAGCAAACACCAAATTTTACTCTAACAAAACATCTATATAATAATGTTGAATGTCACGTCTGGCTATATGATAATATCTAATTATAGCAGTTTCGCACGAGGAATATAAGCAAAACAATAGTAGATCTTTAGCTCTTTATCAGTACTATAACTGATAAAAAAATCATATGTTTCTAATAATAAGCAGTAGTTGCACGGTAAAATGAAACTGGAGCTTCCGGTCAGACTGGCCAGCCCCATATATATATATAACACACTTTAAAAATAAACACTTTTCTTATATAGAAAAATTGTTAACTTTGCTAAAAGCAACTTGCGCACGAACCAACTTAGGATATATCATACCTAGATATGCCCTACCTACCCATCGCACTCCGAGCCATAAAGCTTTTTGACACCTCGAGTGGTTCCCTCGTGGATCAACCGTTCGAATAAACAAATAAGATTCTAATTACAGAATTATTCGTGCTCACATTTATTTTAGCTTGATGAATCTCAGCGATTTCAATGGAAGGAGCACTTTTCCATATGTAATATTTATTATTCAGGCATAACCTCATCTATTGATTCGAGTTCTATGATGATGACACTTGTGATTGATAGAACTGATTATAATTCCATGTGAAAAAAAATCAGAAAAGTGCTTCGCACTTCATACTAACAGGACACTACTGAAGATATGACAATTTGATAACTTGAATGTACTATGTCACACTAAATAGGCTCAAATATTATTTGTTCTACGAACTAGCTGTTATCTGAAAGAGATTCATAGAAATAGAAGGCAAAACGACATAATTCAAGTCACTGATGTCTTTCTTTTGTATAAAGACATTCTATCATTTGATGATGTCAACATATGAAGTTTTCTATTATTTAATGATTCAAGATCGTCGAGAGTTATATTAGTGCTGATAGAAGTATTCATTCTCAAGTTGTATGGCGGAAAATGCAAGGAACATATTAGTTTTTTTTATATTTATCTGTGTCATTTCTTGAATAATTAGCTTTATTCCCAAAAGATTAGATTATTATTTGTCTATTTTTATCTTTACATCGAAAGAATTAACTTTTTCAAATTTCAGAACACGGTAATGAATAGAGCGGATTATCTTTTAATTGATTAATTCATCTTGTTCTTCTATGACATTTATTTGTAATATATCTCTACCTCCTAGCCATAGGTCAGAATGATAAGCGAATGAATTTTTTTCCTGTTCTGTTATTCTTGGACACAACGGTGCGACTAAACTGCAGTTGTACTATCATATGATGAGAAAAATAGATGTTACTGTGATAAATAACGGAACTGATCGTTCAAAAGTTTCTAATTACAAACTTGTGAATTATATCTTAGTATTGTTTTCAGAAAACAATGATTCATTCAAATACTCCAAAAACGTCACGTTAAGCAGTAGAAACGATAAGAAAAAAAAACATGCATTGTAATATAGATAGTATATCATGAAATAGTGTTAGTGCAATGCAAGTCATTTACGTAAAGAAATGCGTCGATTCAAATTCTTCTTCTGTTTTATTCGTATAAGTTTAATCATAACTTTAACCAAATCCGAGTTTCCATGCTTTACAAATTCAATTATTTCTTGTCGTTGTAACAGCGATGAAAGCTTAGTTACTTGTGTTGAAAACCGTCCAAGTAATGAAGCATTTATCGATTGGTCAACATTTTCATCCGCCGGTCATCGATTTCATTTATTTAAATTCATAAATTTTACACATTTAACCTCGAATACATTTGCAAATTTCACATCAACAGTTCTTTCACTTGGACAATTCGAATTCACATTTATCAATTGTATTGATCGAGTAGAAGAAAATACTTTTCAAATATTGAATTTTTATTCTGATACGCGAATTACTCTTATTTTTGAAAGTCCAAGAAATTTTCAGCTTGCTAATTATGCATTTAGCCGACTGGAATATAGGGAAATTATGATTTCTGGTATTCAAAATGATAATCCTCCATATCAACTTAATCTAAAAGCATTTGATAATACACAAATTTATCAACTGAGTATTTCTAATTCTCCCGAATTTCATTTTATTTCTAATGGTTCGTCATCGATGAATATTACTCATTTGAAATTAAAAAATTGTTCTTTGACAAATATTGACCTTCTTCTCGATAGTCTTTCAACATTCATATTAGATATAGATTTATCGTCAAATAAATTAAATCATATTCCATCATTCATGCAATTTTTGACATTAAAGGATATTGATTTAAGTGCAAATTTATTTGAAAATGTCAAATCAAATATATTTACAAATTTAACTCAACTAAATCGAATTAATTTATCGCATAATCAAATCAAGCATATTGCACCCGATGCATTTCTTGGATTGACAAAGTTATCTACTCTAGTTTTACACGATAATCGTTTAACTTCACTTGAAACTATCACAGTTCATAACGAAGTTACATCATTTCTATATCCATTAGTTCCAACATTAACTACCTTGCATTTGTCAAACAATCTTTTACATGATTTCAAACCTATCCGAAATCTTTCATCTTTAAATTCATTACAAATGTGTTGCAATAAAATTAAAATATTGAATGAAAATTCTTTTGAGAATGCACATAAACTTGAAACAGTTGATTTGAGTTGTAATCATATTGAATTAATTCATCCGATGGCTTTCAATGGAACAATTCTGCTAGATCTGGATCTATCATCAAATAGTTTCTCTTCGTTAGAAACAACAAAACATGTAATTAATGATCATTTTCATCTAAAAAATCAGACAAGCTCATTTCTTGATACGCTTCAATCGACGCTTATAGTTTTATCATTAGAAAATTGTACAAATCTATTAGAATTGAATTGGTTTGTTTTAACAAAATTAAGAAGATTATCAATTTTGAAACTTTCGGGAATATCAAAAACAGACAAATTTTGGTCATTACAATCGGGAGACGGTCCAGTTGTTAGTTTGGATCATCGATTACTTGATGTTCGAATTTCTCTTTATAATATTCGCTTCGATAATAATGATTATTGCCTATCGAAGTCAGTTTTTCGAATATTCAATAGATCAACTCTAAACGTTGATGAAAATCATCCATGCAATTGTTTTATATTTATGTTGAAGAAGAAAATTGGGGCAGTCCATCATCCAATTTGTTTATCAAATCAATCAATTGTGCAAGAACTAACTGAAGACTGTATGAATATTGACTTGTTCTGTTTATCAGTGGTAAATAGTACAACTATACCATCGACTCAATCTTCGTCATCTACGGTCAGGACTTCGACAAAAACTTCGTCGACAGCATCAAAATTGACAACTATGTCATCAAGTCAATCTTCATCAACTAAAATCAGTACTGTGACAGTAACAGCAGGATCGACAAAAACCTCATCTATCTCGCGTTTGACAACAACAAATGCACCAACTACACTACGAACAATAATAAAGGATGATGGAAAATGGAAAACTGTATTAGCAATAACAATTCCTTTAACAGCTGTTGCTATTATTGCAGCTGGAACTAGTATTTTTATTGTTAAAAGATGGAAAAAGAAGAATTCCAAGGAAAGTTTTGAGATGCTTACTGGATTTGAAAATTTATTAGCGAGAAAATAATTTTTTGTATTAATAATATTCGTTTTATTTTATTTTACCCAGGGCTATAAGCACGGTCCGTAAACGGTGGTAAACCAATAAGAAACGGTATTCTTACGGTGCCCCGACAGTTCTCGAATACAGACTCCAATAAATCAGAGCAGTCATCCTACCAATTCCGGAATGTTCAGGAATTCTCACCAATTCCTATTGATTCCGTCTCAGATGCGATTCCAGTATGAGAGTGTGAGTTTGAAATTTTATCTTTTCCAAACACAAGTTCATAACATCATATTACTCACCAAAAACTTTCGTCTAAGTCTATACTCACAACTTAATGTGTTTCGCTTGAAAATTCACTTCATGAATAGGATTTCAGAGCCTTTCCAATTCACCCAAAAACGATCGATCCCGACTGCTGTCTATGTCTGTACCCTTCAATACTGATATATGCATGCAACCCTATCCCTCAAAAGAATTCTTGAATCTGTACATCCTATTAAAACCGTCATCCAAACTGCTATTCACTTCAGAAAGATAGCTTCTATATGGATTTTTCGTCATCGAGGGTAGCAGAATCAAAAACCAACCACAACAAATGAACTTCTACTGGAACTGAAACACAACAGCCTATTTCCATGTTCAAAAACTCAATCGAAACATGTATTGGTATTCTGTTTGTTCAAATTCCGAAAACCATTTCAACTCAAAAGAATTATTTCTCAGTCAAATACTGTCCATCAAATAACAGTGATAATGTTCCACAACATACAAATCTTCCAACTTTCAATCCCATGATATGATGCAACAACCAAAACTTACAAACTCTTCCCTTTCACAAAAAAACCTATTTAATCGGCCTTTTCATTCAATATCAGCAATATAATGAGAAAGCACTGTTTCCCAATTTCCTCATGATGTAAATAACTTTTTATTAAATATTGCTACTTTAAAGCTTTTGTATTGAAATAATGAGATAAAATCAGAATTTAGAGTTTTAAGCCATTTGATAATGAACTTCAGTAGGTTCGAAACCGGTCATGGCAGTTTCTACATCCACACCCTCATAGTTTCGTCGCCTAATGAGAAGATTTTTAATATTTGATCCTTTTTCATGCTATGTTCACCCTCACCCTCACCTTGAGTTAGAATTATACGAAATCGAAAAGGTTTCGACGCACACCTTTTTTGTTTTCAATGTAGGGATGACACATTATCTTTTATCAGTAACTATCGTCAGATTGTAGGTAGCTTTGGTTGAATGCTATGCTGTTTGACGATAGAATAGTTCGTCGAAAAAAGTTTGTAGGAAGGACATATAGGGATTTATTTATTTGGAAGTTATTTGTTATCTGGGATTCATTTATTTATTGCGACTTTATTCTTATTTATTAGCTGCATCAAGACTTTCGTGGACCATAGCTTGATTGCCGCCGCTTCGCTCTGACCCTTACTCTCGGGTGATCGTATTTATGCCCAGTAGCAGTTAATAGTTTCTGGCAACTTCTTATCAATTGAGCGTATCCTTCGTGAGAAAATAAACGTTTTATATTTCACCAATGATTCGAAGAAATCTCTTTTTTTTAAATTTATTTTCTCACAAACGGCACTTGATTGATGAGAACTTTCTAGGAACTACTAACTGCTACTGGACTTATCTACGGACGAAAACTCAGGTCTAAATACGATCACTCGATTTTCTTGTATAGAACTCGTTAAGAAAAGGCCGTTCTCCCATATTCTTTTGGTGTTTTTCTAGTCTCACTAGGGTCTACTGATGCTCAGAGTATTATCTCAAAAGCGATTTTACAGTTGGCGGTGTTCTCTCGTCAAATAAAATATAACTAAAGAGTGCGAATTTCCTATGGTGAATGAAATGTATTTGTCTTACATATCTTTACAGTAATTTCTATTCTAGATATCACCATCTACACTCGATTGATAGCTTATAGTGATTTTGTTTTTTTTTTGAGAAAAGAAACTGAAAAGAAATCTTACCATGGCGAGTCTATGTGATACCGATCTTATACGTAAGGCCAATATTCGCCTCTGTCAATTACGTGTCTGGACAAATTTCGCAGGACTTGGTTTTAGCCTGAGAGCAGCTCCGGGACCACCATATCTTATTTGTCTAGTGGAATCGAATAGTCCAGCATCTGCTGGCGGTTTAAGAATTCTCGATGCTATTTTAAGTGTTAATCAAGGTGATGTTTCGAATGCAGAATATAGTCAAGTTGTAAATGCCATTTCTGACGCCCGTAAAAGGCATACATTGATCGAATTACTTGTTGTTGAACAACGTTTTTATAATGAATTAAGAAAACGAAATATTGACATTGATCGTTCAATGGCAGTAACTATTACTACGCCACCAACGATGCCAAATGAATATGCTAATTTTCCTAAACATCAACCACGCACGTGTCAAATTCGTTTATCAAAATCTGAATTAACATTTGGTTTCGAGGTTGTCAATGGTGAAGGTGATGTTGGTGCTTATATTCAAGAAGTATTTCCAAATACTCCAGCAAGTAGGGCACATTTACGTAAATCTGATCGAATTATTGAAATCGATGATAAATTTGTTGATAAAGATGTCAGCAAATCTATATTAGACAAAATATTCAAAGCGAGAATAAAATGTGCTGTGAAATTATATGTCATGGATACCGATACATATCAATATTATCAAATCAATAAACTACCATCATCATGTGAAGAAAAACGAGAAAGTCAATCAGAAGATAGATTATCCACAAGTGGATTTATAAATGAACCTGAATGCAAGTACCATATAATCAGGAATAAAAAAAAATATCATAAACCATATATTCACATATGAAAATTCAGATGACTTTTTATCAGTTTTCAGTTGTTACATAAATCTGCTCCAGCAGAGAGTGAGGGTGCGCGTGAAATTATCAATGAATGTAGGGAAAATGCGAGATTTACATTCGTCATCTCTCTCATAATATTGATACAACAGAAAAAGTTCATTTTGAACAATCGCTTTTTTCCTCGTTTCTATTTTTCTCATTCAGCATCAGAATTTTTGCGTTTCGATTTATTGAATATGTAACATTACTGTATTCATAGATTCATCATCTTCTGTTCCAACTACTAGTCCATTCTACAATGCATGTCGAGATAATAATATCGATTTGGTTCAACATTATCTGAAAACAATGTCATTAGAAGAAATTAATAAAATCGAACCAAATGGATCCACTGCACTTCATGTAGCAGCTTATCAAGGTTATGAGGCAATTGTTGAGATGTTATTGGAGAAAGGTGCTTCTTATATAACAATTAATAAATATAATTTAACTCCCCTTGATGAGGCTAAAACTGATAAAATAAGACATATGATCTGTGACCGTCGTCATAAAAATCGTTTCGTCAGTGAATATGTCGAATGGATTGTTACTACAAGTGATGCAGATTTCCAGGCGTATGAATATTCAAAAATATTGGAAGCATACGGTAAAGACCCAAACTGTTATCGATTGGTTACTTATATAAAACAAAATTATCTTGAAAAAGATTTACAAGGTATCGATGGAATCGATAGGATAAAACAATATTTTGACATAGCAATAAACAAAAATGATCCCATTTATCTATTACAAGCATATACAGCTGAAACTGATTTTTACTCTAAACTAAATTTTCATCTGGCTCAATTGCAGCTGGAAAACTTAACTGATAAAGAAAATCTTAGTCGTGCATATTATATTGGAATAATTAAAAGTCACTCAAGATTCAGAGCATTTTCATATATTGGGAAAACGTTTCGTGGTATGATGATTACTAATAATGATCTTAAACAATATAGGATCGGCACACGTATTCTAACCAAAGCATTTTCATCGTCATCCAAACGACTTAATGTGGCATTACAATTTGTTAACAGCAATCGAGATACTGATGAACGATTCAGCACAATATGCATATATGAGATACGTAACGAGCGAACTGCATTGGATATTGGACATATATCAGCATACCCATATGAACAAGAAATATTAATTTTACCGTATTCAGCTTTCAAAATAATTGACATTGAACGAAATAAACATGATTCACCTAAAGTCAAAATAATATTAAAAGAATGCGAGCCATGGTAAATTTTACTGCTCGTCCTTCTTTCGATTTTCGAACGATTATATTTTATCTATATTTAATCTATAACATAATACATTAAAGATTGAAAGAGTCAGCAGTGTGCAGATTTCCTAAAAAGGAAATTTCTAAAATTTCCATATATACTTCAACAACATAAAATATAGAGCTGTCCGAAAAATCCGTGCACCTGTACTTTAATTACTTGAATGAACGGTTTAGTTCATTTTTTTGTGTGGAACCTAAATTTTCTAAACGATTTGCATCTTCTTGCTGACTAATGGCATCAGTTGATCAAAAAGAGTCAGCTCTTACACCTACACCCTCAACAATGAATACTAGACAAGTAAAAAGTTGCACGTACACCATAGACAGAAAAGAATGTGTAGGATGAAGATATACATATCTTTGAGTGCATCTGTTCTTCTCTTCGTTCCCTGTATTCTTTCATTCTTAGCTCTGTATTTAATACACACAAATTTTACTTTATCTCTCGTTCTTCGAATGATGTCGAACTATGATATCCTTCAAAAGCAAGAAAATATTTAGTAAATGACTTTGTATTAAAACTTTAAAAGGATCCTGTACAGTGTTGTACTATTTATTCGAATATCTTAGCTTTTCATTTTAATTCACCTTAGTTATAAATGTTTTCCTTTTAGAATGGATATATATACGCAAATAGCAGAAATTACTGACAAAGTAATAGATTCAGAAAAATATTATATCAAATATTATTATCTCGTGTTTAGATCGGAGAAACGAATGGAAAAATTAGAGACATCAATGGTCAACTGTGCCAAAAAGAGGCGGAATTGGCCAATCAAGAACTTGCGTCGGATCAGCGACAAGAAATTGAACGTCAAGTGCATCAATTAAAAAAGGAAAATGATAACCTTCTTATGGCAGTTGACACCCTTGAATCTGAAAAGTAAGAAAGATATCATCATAGGACGGTTTCAAAGGATGATTTTTGAAACAGAACAATCATAAAACTCATTGATGAATAAAATGATAAATAATATGAGAAGAGAACTAGTTCGCACATAGCATAGCAAGTCATTTACTATTGATGAAACCTGACGAGTTCAAACGCTAATGCAAAACCATTTCCATGTTTTGTTATTTTATTTAAAACGTTTTGGCTAGTCTTTTCTGCTTGGATCAAGAGTTCAGCTCTTATGTTCTTCATAAGAACCGAGATGCTCGCTCATATGCATTTTGAATATTCAATATTCTTCTTCACGAAATCATCCTTCAAAACTATCCTACGATTTTATGTCT